CCTCTCTCCCTCTCGTGAAGTGGGCTTGGCGGGCTGGTCCCTGCTGTGATTGACTCGGGCGGGCGCAAGCTTGGGGTGCTCGGGGCATGCGGCGCATGAACGGGTGAATAAAATGGGTGAATTAGCGGATATGGACGGATAGGGTCGGTAGACGAGGCTGATACGAGCTGCTGTCGACGGCCATCGGATCTGGTTCCGTCGTCTGAAGAGGCTGCGGGATACACGGGAGCCGGGCGGCCTTGGGGCGGCGGTGCCTTGGGGTCGGTGAAGGTATTCCCGCGCAGGAAATCTCGCCCGGAGCTAGCGACCGACCGACCATCCATGCAGGAACGAGAGCGAGCTGGGCAGTATTTTCCCCCCTTCCCTACCTACCCTTTGGATACTTGGAATTTTCACTTTTCATCTGCAGGAATTACTGATGAGCGATGGCACGTCTGAGCGCGGTGGACTATCCAATTGCCAAAACGAGGCACCAATCTGCCTGCCTGCCCCGGACAAAGGAATGAAGGATCATGATGGAAAGTTACGATGCGGAGATGGCGCTGGCGCTGGCGCAACCCAGCACCTGCGGAGATGGGAGCCAACAACCTGCCAAGCCGCAGGAACACGAAGCACAAAGGGTAGCGAAAAGCACGAGCTGGGCAGCATGTTTCCGTTATGGCGTTGCGCGCGATGTGACGATGAGACGTTGACGGTCAGAACCAAGTGCCGGTATCAGCTTTTTGGCACACCCGGCATCGACACGCCGGTATCATCGGGATGCCGCTATACAACATCATATCTCCGAGTTGTCCGTCCCGACTGCCCAACGCAAAGCTGCTCGGGTTGAGCTTCCGAAGGCCAGACGTCAATGCCGAAGGATTTCTGGCCAAGAGGGCCTGGAAGGTGTTCCCGAGCCCTATACCTCAAGGGTCAACAATTCCAGGAAAATACGGCTGCAACCGACGCATGCAGAGACGAGGGAGAAAATCTGACGGGAGCCAACACCGCTGGGAGACAACACGTTGGGGGCAGAAGCTAAGAGAGACAACAAGGTGAGAATCTGGGACGACGATGTTGCGTAGTGAATCTCTGCAATTCGCCTCGGTGGTGTATCGATACAGAACATACATGCCAAACGCCAATGCTATATAGAATCTTTGTCAGAGCTCCTCCTTGAAGAACTGCTCCTCGCTGCCCTCCTGCTGCTCGTCCTTGCCAGCCTTCTTCCCCTTGCCCTCCCCATCCTCGTCTTTGTGGTCAACAATGCCTCGGATCTCTCGTGGGTCGCCCGGTTGCTCAACTACCTCGAGCTTCCAGCCCTTATCCCCGGCGATCTTCTCAAGTTCGGCCCTCATCTCCTCCACCAGCTCCGGGCTCAGGTCCATCTTCTCGAGCTCCTCCTGGTTGAGCACCTTCACCTCCCCACCGTCCGCCTTGCTCTTGGCGCTAGCGATAATCTCAACCAAAGGGCCCTGGTTGCGGCCAGGCAGGTAGCTGCGCGGGGGCGCCAGCTTGGCAGGGGGCTTGCCCTCCTCGTCCGCGTCAGCCAGCACATTGCGGGCGCCGACAATGACACCGCCCACATTGACACCCTTCTGCGCTCTATCCCTGACGTTGGGGTCCTGCTGCTGCTGGCCGTCGCCGCCGGGCTGCTGCTGCTGCTGCAATTCCTGCTCGCTACCCTTGGCGCCGGGGTCCTGGCCGGCCTGACCCACCATCGCCTCCTGCGCCTCCAGCGTCTTCAGGCGGTGCCATTCGGCTTGTGCCGCGGGGTTGTCGGCGGGAATGATGAGCTGGCAGCTGATGGGGTTCGCGCTCGTTGCCCTAGGCGGCAGGAAGGCCACGTCGTCGCAGAGGCGGGGGGTGTTGACCACCATCAGGTAGGCGCATGTGGTCACTTCCTTGATCCAGCCGATGCGATCGCCCTTCATGCCTGGCACGCAGTGATATTGCACCTCGATCGTGCGCTCGCGACCCGTAAGATCGCAGATTGTGCCTCCGTCCAATCTCTGGACAAGGTATCGCTGGTCACCTTTGATCTGGAGGTCCGTGTTTGCCGGCGGGTCTCCTGACTTTGTCGTCTGCTGCTGCTGCTTCTGTTGTTGTTGCTGTTGCTGCTGTTGCTGTCCCTGAGTCTGCTGGCGCTGACTGGGCGACTTGCTGGCTCTCCCCAGGACGTACTCCGCCGTGTGAGGGTCGCGGACCGGTGGTTGGCCATTCGGCACCGTGGGAAGGGCGTGAAATTGGGTGACATCGCGGTTGTAGCAGAAGCTGTAGCTCCACCAGCCCGACATGAAGTACAGGCAGTTGCCGTCGAGCTCGTTGAGCAGCTCCCATCCATGCGCGGAAGCCTTGGCCAGCTCGCGCGCCTCCTCCTGCTTCGCGAGCTCCGTCGCGGTGTGGTTCTCGGGCGTCTGGGGTTCCAGGATGGGGATCGAGCAGAGATACTTGGCAGGGTTCATGTTCATGACCTCGTATCGCTCAAACACCTCGGGCTCGGGGCGGCCGTCTGCGTCGGCGGCTTCGCGGACATTCTGGGAGACGTCGGAGGCTGTCGAGAAGTCGGCGGAGTAGGCTGGGTGCGGGGGGTTCGTGCGGTCTAGCAGAGCCTGCGCTTCGTGTTCTGGGATGAATGATTCTGAGAAGACTATCTCGTACTGTTGCGCGCGATAATTAGACGTCGTTCTCCGAAAGCTTCACCTGCGCATTGTGCTCCGGACGTACCTGAGGATAAGCCACGAGGTCGTCGTGGATGCTGAAGCCGGGGTGGCGGGCACCGCACAGCTGGACTGTCGCCAGCAGAGCTAGATTGAGACGGCGCATGATGCCGTGTATGCTGTAAATTTCCTCACATGTAGACCAAAAGGAGGAAGTTGACAAGTGCCGTCGTCGGTTTGGCGGCCCTCAAGTTGCTTAGACAGTCGCGCTGGCGCATTGGCCAAGCGGTTCGTAGCTCACAGGTGTCATCAACGGACAGGGTCCCATCGAGATAAGATAGCCGAAGTTTCTCCGCCCGGATAGGTGGGGGGTCAACCTCTGAATACGGAGGAGAGTATCACGTGATACGTTTGGAGGTCTTTGCTTTTTATTTTTCTACCTTCTGCGTGGTATCTTAGTTCATGCGAGAACCACATTTTTCGAATTATTATGTTTAATCGCTTCCATGCTTTAGTCAATGAACAAAATTGCGCTGCCCCGAACAGATTACTAGTGTCCTAGGTAGGTAGCAAACGTGTGTCCCACTTTCGGTGGCAGCACCCGGGCCGCTGTGGAGCCCAACCGGAACCCAGACCTACCAACTCCCGGAGCCGGCAATGTTCATCTCAGATTACCCTGTTCTTCCTATTCTCACCTTCTCCTTAACTACCAAAAGCATTTGTTTTGGTATTCAAGCTCAACTCATAACGCACGTTTCCTTGTGGCGATATTCATCATATTCATCAGCAAAGTGAATTGCATTCACTGAGAATAATCTGCATTAACACCCGGCACTTTCTGTATATCTTGACTACTATACATGGATATTTGTGCTCTGCTAATACGGTCTCAGCACTATCAATCGCCTGAACCAACTATTGGTCATCACGTTCTATCATCAAGGTACATCAAGAGTGTTGTGGCTCCATACCACACCACTAGCTACTTCTGCAACTCTTTGCAAACGTGTCTTTATTCACTGAAGTTAGAATTGCTCTTTGAGTCTTCAACTGATTCATCTCCAATTTCTGCATTCCTGAATGTCGTTGCATGTGATTCCTCGAGACAACGGCCGCCGGACGCGAAACAATCTTCGCATATGTCGAAATCGCCGCCGTTGCAATTTGGACAATTGTAGTAATTGCAATCCTGTGGGATGGCTAGGATGCAAATATCGCAGGATCTTCGTGAATGAACTTGAGATCTCTCGGCAACGACCTCCGGATCTATCCCCTCATCCAAGGGCACAACTAGCCCAGGTCCGCTTTGGTTCAAAATTTCCACGACAGCAGACTTTCTCTGTCTTTTTGCCCACCAAAGCGGGGTCCGGTGGAAACAGTCCCTGTTGATGCTCGTTGCACCGGCTGCTAAGAGCTTCTTGACGACCTCCGAGTGCCCTCTTCGTGCCGCCATTGACAGCGGGGTTGATTCGTAGTAGTCCATGGAGTTGACAGAAGCATGGTGATTCATGAGGACGTCGACCACGGCTCCACGTCCTTCTGCCGCCGCAGAAAACAATGCTGTACGACCAATCGAGTCCTTTAAATCGACGTTGACGCGAGGGTCTTCAAGAAGTAGCTTTACAAGTGACTCGTGGCCTTCTCCAGCGGCATAGTAAAGAGGAGTCTGACCGTATCTGACATTCTTGTCGTCGGGAAGAACTTCGCCTGTATCGAGGAGGCGGGAAACGATGTTTGCGAAGCCATAAAAGGATGCTATATGTAGCGGTTCCAGCCCTCTATCAGTGGCTCTTGAGATATCGGCCTTCCTTTCAAGAAGGAGGTTCACTATTTCAATCTTTCCGGTGGAGGATGCTGCATGTAGCGGTGTCCATCCGTACTCAGTAACCAATGACGTATCAGCTCCGCTATCAAGGAGTAATTTTACCACCTTGACGTGCCCATAGTAGGATGCTGCAAAAAGCGGCGTCCATCCTCTCTTATTCGCACTTGAGGTACTAAAACCTTTCTCAAGCAGCAGTGTCACCACCTCGGCTTGCCCATAGCAGGATGCTACGTACAATGGCGTCCGTCCTTTTTCATTTTCAACTGAGGCATTGAAACCCTTCTCGAGAAGCAGTCTTACTATCTCGACGTGCCCTTTTGATGAAGCCTTTTGTAATAAATGCATCCTTTTTTCTTTGGTGGTAGTGACTGGACTACCAGCGCCGTTTTCAAGCAGCAGTCTCACTACTTGGACGCTCCCACCAGATATTGCTTTGTGAAGTGGTGTTTGTCCCTTCTTATCTGTAATTGAGATGCTGGCACCGTTTGCGAGCAGTAGTTTCACAATCTCTACGTTTCCAACGGCGCTCGCCGTGGTTAATGGTGTCCATACCGAATCAGATGGAGCAGAGTTGACATCAGCTCCTGCTTCGATGAGTATTGTAGCTGTTTCGATGCGCCCATTTGATGCAGCGACGTGAAGCGGCGTCCTTCCTTTATTGTCCTGTGGCGAAACCTCAGCTCCATTACTGAGAAGGGTCCTGACAACCTTGCTATGGCCACGGTATGAGGCAGCAAAAAGACTGTTAGTTGCCTTGACTGAACCCGACCCGCGTGCGTTCACGTCTGCACCCAGATCAATAAGCATCTCAACGATGCATTGGTTGCCGTTATGGGCCGCAGTGTGAAGGGCGCTGCCAAATTTGGTCGCAATGTTGACATCCGCGCCCAAACTGACCAGGCACTGCACGGTTTTCCTGTTCCCGCTTTTGCATGCGGCTTGAAGAGGGCTACCATGCTTGCCGCCCTGAGAGTTGACATTTGCGCCCATGTCGACCAATGGTTTGATGATGCTACCACTGCCAAAAGCACAAGCAGTCTTTAGATACTTATCAAGACCGCTGTTTGCGATCTTCACGCCCAAGTCGACTAAACGCTTCAACACATCCTCTCTGTCATTGTGGCACGCCGCATCTAGGATCTTGTGGTAACTTCGAAGCACCAGGCTTTTGTCGACATCGAATTCCATCAAAACCTTGGCGACCATCCCGTTACGGCTATGGCAGGCGGCATGGAGAGGACTTCCATACTCTCCGCCTTGGGCGTTGACATTCGCCCCAAGGTTGATTATCGTCCTCACGGCCTTCTCATGGCCACCCCAACATGCAGCCTGCAGAGCGCTGCCAAATTGTCCACCAGTGGCGTGCACGTCAGCTCCACGGTCGACCAGCATCTTCACAATCTCCTCATTACCACCGTATGCTGCCGCGTGGAGCGCATTGCCTATGAAACCGCCTTGTGTGTGGATATCAGCACCCTTGTCGAGTAGAAGCTGCACCACTTCGAGATTACCACGCGCACACGCTCCGTTCAGTGCGTTTCCGTAGCCACGTGTCTGCATGTGAACATCTGCTCCCTGTTTGAGCAGCATTTTCACAATACCGATATGTCCATGGGAAGATGCGGTCTGGAGTGCGCTTCCATCGAAGCCTCCTGGCGCGTTGATGTCTGCGCCATGATTGAGGAGTAGTTCCACAATTCTGATATGACCGCCACTCGAGGCCGCTGCAAGAGCATTCCCGTTTGCTTCACCTTGAATGTTTACGTTCGCATCTTTGTGTAGGAGTAGTCCAACAACATCTAGATGACCGCTCTTAGAAGCCGCTTGGAGGGCAGTTTCAAATCTTCCACCTTGAGCGTTGATGATTGCGCCCTCTTCGAGAAGTAGGCGCGCGACGTCCAGGTGACCTCTGTAGCTGGCCGCCTGGAGTGCATTTCCGTATTCCCCGCATTGGACATTTGCATTTGCGCCCTTGTTCAAGAGCAGCTGTACAACGTCCGAATGACCATTAAAAGCGGCTGCCTGGAGTGCATTCCCGCAATGACCTCCCTCTAGAGCATTGACGTCCACCCCTCTGTCGATGATCGCCCTCGCAGCCTTTAAGAGTCCACCGACGCAAGCATAATACAGCACTGATCCTCTAGGGCCACCTGCCCATCCCTGGTCTGCTTCGTGCAAGAAATTCCACCGTTGGAAAGCCTTCTCTGATCGTAAAAAGTTGACTATGATTGCTGAAACGTCTTCGGATGATTCAGCGGCAGCGGCAAAGTCCAACCAGACTTGCGCGGCATATGTTGCGAAGGGATATTCCTCTGCCAACTTCCATCGATGGCCATGAATATCCCTTAGATAAACTAGGCATGCCTTTGTGATGGTTATGCTAGCATTTATTCGTTCAAAGTTTCTCTGGCTCAAGAAATACTCCTTCACTGAAAAGTGCGCAAGGTGCAATTCTTGAATCGTTTCCAATTCAGTTTCAACGGGCACCACTGAAACCAAACTAGTGCAATGACGTAGAATGTCACTGTCGACAAATACTCTGCAGTTGATATCGAAACGCGGCTCTTCATCTTCGATCTCCGTGGCGACAATTTCAACAGCCTCTTTCAAAGTCAAAGGGCGCTTCGCGTGAACGATGAATCGCAAGAGGCGCATAGCGCTCCTCATGTATTTTTGTGGGATATTGTGTACGGTACGATCGTACGTCTCTTCCAAGGTAGCAGGCAATCTGTCGAGGGTGTTACCAATCTCGTTCGGACTGTAGCATTTGGCAAGGCTGTCGAGCTGGCATGCTGCCCATCGGAACCTAAGACTGAGATCAGAATCTTGCCTCAGAAAATATTTGAATTATACGGTAGATGCTTAAAACGCACATTCCTTTTGCCCCATTCCCAACTCTACGATGTATTCGCCGAAGTAGATCCTTAAACAACCTCTTCTCGGTGAAGCCAGGGTCACTTTGCGTCCTAGTCATGACATAAGATTGGATGTCAGTATCGACAGCTCCTTCGTCGAGAGAAAGACAACATTGATTTCCAATTAAGTTGGGGATAAAGCCTATAAACTCGGCTTCTCCCCGACTTGTGTATATAATTTGGACGTGTTGAAGTTGCGGATGAGAAAACACGACTTTTAGCCACGAGAGAATTTCCTCTCTTTGAGTGGACTCATCCAAGGCGTCGAGGACAATTGAGACTTTGGACTGCGCTGATAATATACTTTGGACAACTTCTTCAAGGGTGGTGGTGGTTGGCCTTTCGTACCCATCTTTGTGCTCTCGAAGCGAATTTTCGAGGTGTCCCGCCGAGTCGTGTCCGCCTTGATATAGTTGGAGGGCTAGAGATCGCAATAGTCCATTTTTGTTCTGTTTCCTGGGATCTCTGAAATCGAAGAAGAAGCTCAATATGATTAGACCGTTGTCCTCGATGAGTCGATCTAGGATCGTTGTGCTCAGAACCGTCTTGCCACATCCGGGCATGCCACAGAGCCACAATTGTTTGCAAGCCCCGGAGATCCAGTTCTTAAAGGCCGGATTCTCCAGAAGCCAAGCACCGGTTCCAGCATGCCTTAATTCTCTGGCATGGTTCGCATTCGTGTTTGGGTTAGGAGCGGCAAGCCATTTTTGGATCTTTTGGCTATGGGAGTCGAGTTTCATGGCGTCAACTGTAGCTTTCACCGAGAGTGTGGTCTCTTGTGTAGCACCCATTTTCTCATTGACTAGTAACCGGAATTAGTCCCCTTACATCTTTGATTTCCCAACAAACTTGAAGCATTATTTCCCAAGATAAGGTATTGAGATTTTGAAAAAGCCCGATGTCTAAAGACGAACTAACCTGACTGAAGGATCTCCAACGCCCGCTTAGTCTCATGAATCTCAGCAGCCGGAACGTAAGAGAGAAGCTCTTTGGCGTAAGCAGCGGCAGTGCCCGACGCGTAACGTTGCCAACGGTCGTTCTTATGAGAGTCCGAATAGTCGCAGATACCGCGTATAACGAGACATGGAAAATGGTTCATCAGACCCGCAGCTTCAATCTCAAAACAGATACAGTCTTCCCCAATATCGGCAAGGATTTGATCTCGAGCAGCGGCGTCTTTCACCAGTGTATTCCCAGATGCGATGATGCCGTAATGGATCTCGGGATCCGTTGATTCTCGTTCCTCACGTTGGACCTCTTCAGCCGTCCCGCAGCTGCGACAATCTTGACCAGTGACATGCCCATATGATGACTGGAAGAGACGGTCGTTCTCGAATCCCTGATGGGTATAGCCAGGGTTCGTTTTGGTCTTCTTGGCCATCTTGGGGTAAGCCTCCAGCATGTCTTCCAGGAAACGCGGGATTTCGGAGTCCTTGCGTTCATGGACTGACTGAATGTTCGCAAGAGCATTCAGTAGGACGCGTGGGGGTGACGCCAAAAAGCCCTTTCGCTCACGAACATCTCCAGGCTTCGCCTTCACCAAGTCGTATTGGCAAACTCCGCCTGTAGTTCCGTCAGGCTGGCTAACCACCACGTCTCCCAGGCGGATGTCATGATCCTCGTCTGGCCGAGCAATACCGCCACCAATTCCAACAAGCAGGCCAATTCGAATAGCAGGCAAAGATGAAGATAAGCTTGAGGCAGTAGCAGCAGCCGACCCTAGTCCATAGACGCCAGCCGCGAGAGACACAATCACGATGTTGTGCTCTCCTATGTGACCCCAAGTATATGAATTCGGATCGCTTGGATTTCGAGAAAAGCCATCTGGTTGTCCGTGCTGCTCGTCGAGCATGGCTTCTGCCGCCGCTCGTTCGATAGGCAGCGCTGCGATCCAGGCAATCGTGTAGAATTCTGGACTATCAAGTTTCTTCATATTGTCGGATGCCGTGGTTAATCGAGAAAATTGAAACAGAGAGATTGCAATTGAACCAGCAGACGTTGTCTCCGAAATCTGTATACGGTAGTCATCGACGAGAGTCTTGACCCGGTAATGCGATCGGACTTCGTCTTAGTATTCAGCGGCAAAGAAGGAGAACGGGGAAAAAAAGAAAGACAGTGTAAACAACTGAAGATCAGGCTGTGACCCTTGAAAGCTGGGAGAGGGGCTGGTGGACTTGGCGCTTACATGCAGCTATGCCATGTTCAGGTGGTTTTCCGATAGCCAACCGGTGATCTCATCAACAATGAACCTGCAAACCCTATTCGACAAAAAATGCACTTTCATAGCCGTGGGCAATGAGTGGCCCCCAAAAGCAAGCTCAGCCCATTGCTGTGCCACACTGAGTTGTGCTCCGCGATAAGATGGAAAGGCTGATGACCGCATCCTTGGTTCGGAAAAATGGCGGTGCAGATTTCGATATGTCATCCCCTGATGCTTTCTGCTACTAACATAGGCTTTAAGTTTGAATCTGGCTTTCAATCAAGTCACACAAGAGACCGTCTATTCGGCTATTTCTTCCCGTGTACTTGATTGAATACTTGTACTACGAATGAAGAGGACGATGATAATGACGACGACAACAAAGCTGATCACCACTAGGAGGACGATAAAAATGATAACGACAACGACGATAACCAGGAAAGTTATAAGAACGATAACGATAGTAAAGCAGGGTAAGGTGTAGAACCACAGGAAAAGTAGTAGCTCTAGCACAGGAAAAATAGGCTAGGTATCTGTCAAATAAACGGAATCATGACCACTCAGACAGCTCAGAAGCGTTCTCAAAGAACTTCGAAAAGCGTGGATTATTCCTCAAGCACACTTTCATTTACCTCATCGATTCTCTGTCGTAAATGCACCATTGAATACAACCAAGCCCATGCATGAGCTAGCGCGATAATAGTACGGCTAACAACAGGATGATTTCTGATCCATTTCCTCCCCAAGCGGGTATTGCTACTGGCAACACACAGTCGTCTCATCAATACCCTCCGCCTTGGACTGAAGCTCCTGTTCCCCGACAGTACATGAGAGCCAGTCAGTGAGGTATTTCCCGAGACCCGCGCCAATGATGATTGAAATAATGATGTACCCGTTGAAGTACATAGCCAGCAGCATAACGACGTATGCAACGCCAAACGTCACCGCGTGTAGAATGGCACGTAGAATCTGCTGGACGGGAGAAGCGCGCATGACGACTTTGCGGGAAGCTAGCGATGGGGCGGCAGTTGAGCGAGCGGAGCCCTCTTTGCCATCATCATGGTCGACGGCAGATGCGGAAGCAGCGAAAACGGCCTGTCCTCTGCGACGCATCTGAGCGAGTATAAGACTGTCGTATTTCTTGCTCATGATGCGCAGGACCTCGAGCATAACGACGAGTAGGACTACGCCAATGCAGGAAGCTGCCATCATACCGCGGTTTCGAATCTGCCATGATGACGAGAGAAAGCAGGCGTCGATCGTGTTCCAGTTCCATAGCATCTGTTACGGGAACAAGGTGTCAGTCTATCAGTACCTAGCGAGATCATGGCACGGAAGAACGTACTGAGACCTTGCAGTCCGCCGTGTCTGCGCTGCCGTGATCCATGATGAAAACCTGCGTGAATTGACCGGAGTAGAGGCAAGATCGTGGAAGGAATCGTGTGAGAATCAGGCGTGGAGAGGATCGAACACCTTCACTTGCCGCGAGTGAGAAAAGGTTGACGGAAGATACTGTGAGGTCTTTTCAGAGCCACGAAATGATTCAGCAGACCAATATGGAATAAAGCAGGCAAGCAGGGGGCCCACGTGTCGTCTTATGTACGAATACGACCAATCCTTGGGCAGCTCGGAATAAATGTTCTTTTATTTTGAACTTACTGCTTGATCAGTTTCCATCAAAGTCGTATCCCTCCGACCCGGAACCGTGCCGGGTACCATGCATAAGGTATGCAGTATTCTGGGTCAGGTCATTTGGGGCCTCACTACCGTTCTAGATGCGTCGATGGCGTCACCGGACAACACTATCAAACCTCTTACATGCGTTCATTTTACGCTCCTCGTGGTCACTGACTGCTTTCGAGACGACAGGATTGGCTTCACGTCCGGCCGGCCGCGCGGGACCGTGGATCTGAAGAGGCAAGCCCGGTAGGCGGGGCCCCACGGGCCCGCTGATTGCGACGCTGTCAAGGAACGCTTAATCCAATCCGGCCCCTATCAAGCCAACAAACTTGCTCAAACTTGCTCGCCAAGTTTCCTATTTCTTTCCACCGTCGCCACATCTACACAAACTGTAAACCCTGTTAGCCGGTCTCCGGCTCCGTTGGTTTAGACTTGGCGAAGATTCGGATGGCGTCCGGCCTCGGTATGGTAGACTTTCGCCGATTTCTTTTAGTCATAATCAAGAGCCCAGCGCGAGATTTCTCATGTCGACTTGTGGTGGACTCACTTTCGCGTTAGGATGGTGTGGATAACCTGCAGACAGGAGAGACGGGCACAAACCATATATCCTACTGTCTGCCTCTCCAACGTCAACTAAGCCTCCGAGGCCCCTTGCCGGTTCCTACCTCCCAACTTCAGACACCCGCAATGGACGAAGAAACTTCAGCGGCAGACTCGCTGCTACACGGCGTCTTCCGCCGACAAGGCTATCAGTCCCAGAACATTAGCAATGGCGGGATTGTCGATTACTGGGGTTACGCCGGCCGTGTAGTTCCTTGTACCAACGACGCGGGAACATGCGAATACTTCGAATCCGTCTACGGTGGTCATGAGCGCGGCATGCTCTACACTGGTATCATCTGGGCAACTCTCGGCGGTATTCTCTTCGTATGGGCTATCGGGCGGCACATTTGGGCGCCACCATCCGGCGCCGAAGCCGTCGTTATGTCCACCATCACCAAGTCCGCGTCTGGCGAAGAGCGGAAGAAGCCCAAAATGGAGTCACCTGGCGCTGGTGGTCTTCGTCGCCTGAGGGCTGCGGCCACGGCCACTTGCCGCTACTACACCCTCCCGGAATCTATGCGCTTCGTCTTCGGTCGCACAACCCGACTGCAAGTTCTCATTCTGGCCATGTTGACCATCTACCTCGCCATATTCTCCTTCATTGGCATTTGGTATAAAGACTGGATGACACCGGTGAAAGGCTATGACAATCTTTACCAGAGACGGTCCTGGCTTGGGGCGTGGTCTGACAGAGTTGGTACACTCGCATATGCGTTGACGCCGTTCTCCATCTTGCTCGCTTCGCGGGAATCCATCCTTTCCTTGCTCACCGGCGTGCCGTATCAGAGCTTCAACTTTCTGCATCGCTGGCTTGGCTGGATAATCGCGATCCAGGCTCTCGCTCACACGATCGGCTGGACAATCATTGAGAGTGTCTTTTACCAGCCACAGCCCCAGGTAGCCAACAAATGGATCAAGCAGTTGTACATGATTTGGGGTTGTGTTGCTAGCATCATCCTGTTTCTACTCGTCATCCTGGCCACTCCATGGGGAGTCCGTCTTACCGGCTACGAATTCTTTCGAAAGAGTCACTATGTACTCGCGATGATCTACATTGGCGCATGTTGGGGTCACTGGCAGCCCCTGAAGGTTTTCAGTAGGTTTTGCCTCTTCTCTTACTTGTGTAGCTTCGACAATATGCTAACATACCATACCCAGTGGTCCCTGGCCTGGCTATCTGGCTCGTTGATCGCGGCGCACGGCTAATGCACTCGTTTCTCATTCACTATCAGTACCTTCCGGATGGCACCATGGGCTTCCAGACCGCTCCCGTCAAGATGACGCTCATGCCTGATGCACAGTACGGCGACATCGTCCGCCTGGACTTCTCTCAGCCTCACGACGTCTGGAAGCCCGGTCAGCACTTCTACATCTGCTTTGCGAAATCCAGCGTCTGGCAATCCCACCCCTTCACCCCGCTGAATCTTCCTATTGAACGCGACGGCGTTGTAGAACACGCTTACATCTTCCGCGCGAAGAAGGGAGAAACCCGCAAGGTTGCGCAGTTGGCAGCCGCAGGAACGACGACTACACCTGTTATCCTCCAGGGGCCTTACGGCGAGGACCACACCCTCCACCTTACACTCGATGCTAACGTTCTTTGCATCGCCGGCGGTACTGGTATTACCTATGTCCTCCCTACTCTCCACTGGCTTGTTCGCCAGCCTGCGAATCCCAACCGCCGAATCGCTCTCGTCTGGGCCGTCCGTCTCCGGCAAGATCTTGAATGGGTACGCGCCGAACTCGATGCTCTCGCCAACGCAAAGAGCCACGGCATCAGCATCACCATTCACATAACACGCGAGGAGGGCGAAAGCCTCACCTCTGAGGTTAGCGAGAAGAATGTCATCGACCGCGCCCAGTCATCCTCAAGCCGGAGCAGTAGCAGCCGCGCAAATGGTCTTGCGAAGGCCTTGGAGATCCGCGCTAGTGGTAGCCACCCGAGGATGGCGGACGTTGTAGCTGCTTTCCTGTCCGAGAACATTCAAGGCCGTACTGCAGTTTTTGCTAGCGGACCGGGAGCTATGATTTCCGATCTGAGGGGCGTTGTAGCAGCGGCAAACTCTGGAGAGCAGGTCTGGAAGGGTAATGAGATGGCTGATGTAGAGCTGATCTGCGATAATAGACTAGAGTGGTAGATTGTAAATAGCAAGAGGAAACCATGTTCATATCTGAAAGACGGCACCATAACCAGTTCCTTTCTGATGACTTCAGCACTTGCCAAGACAGCCACGCGGGCATGGCGGGTTATCTTTGCTTCCAGCCCACGAACTAAGATAGCCCCTCAGTCAGCTCTGCGTCTATTGCGTCAGTGCTTCGCAGACTCTCATCCTGCATCTTCATTTATCTCGGGCTGGTATTTGTTCGGTGACAAGTTCGATGAACTTCTTCTTCGGGTCATACTGTAGATCGTCAACTGCGCCAACTTGAATCACCTCATTCGTGACTTGGAACGGGACATGCCGAAATGGGGAACGGTGAACTTCCTTAGCCTCAAAACAAGGGTGGTCCCGTGCTTTCGAGTTCAGCTATCTCTTGAATGTCGAATTAGGGACACTAAGTGGCGCTTCCATCACATTGCTGAATTCATGTCAAGAATTTATTTGCAGCCAGATGCGGAATAATGTAAACTGAAAGTTTTCAGTATCGGCAAATTCACTGAAGCTTCACCAAATTAACACCAATCGTGCTTCTACGGAATCTTGATTTTGTTGCTTTCGGCCCCGAGTGAATACCTCTCGAGTATCCACCATGTTGGAAGCGTCCACACATTCCCCAAGAACTAGAGCAAGATTGGCGTTACGTGTAAGGACTGCGAGACGCAGAAGCGTGGCGATCAATTGTCGAAGGCACAGGTGCCCGTGACCTTGCAACTACTGCAGCGTGCCGTGGACCAGGATGCCAAGTGGAGGGGTATCCAGCACCTCGCAGAAGACCATGTTGTCGAATACCTAAAGGACAACCTACATTGGAGAACCGTGTCTGTGAGTTATCTTCCCATTTCTTCTCGCTCTTTTGTGGATCTGTGATTGAGGAACTATGTGGTTAACCACAAGCTTTCCACGTCTAGGTGCCTGGAGACGTGATCCCTACAGAGAATTTGTCAAAGCTCAAGGTGTTCTTCTTAAAGGGATACGCCGACCATCATTAGGATCCCGAGAGGCCTTCAGTCTACTCTGACTACGAGGAGAAGTGGGAGATTACCCAGCACAAAGTTGGCGGAGCAAGACCCCAGAGTCTGGTGGACGAGGTTCTCTTGGATGAGCTGGTCTCTTGAACGAGAGGCCCTCTAGGGTAAACTAGTCACTATCGACATCCCATGGACTACAAATAAGTACTCAGGATCAATAAAACTTCCCACTTTGTCTCCATCTGACCTTAAAACTCGATGATGACTCGATCAAAAGTGCCCGTTTTTGCACCAGTAAGCTTAAAGATAGCATCTTAAGAACATTCAACAGCTTTCACAAACACTCGGGTAGATTACACGGGCTACTTTGTGCCAAATATTTGCACGTTTCTAGTCCTCGTCGCCAACCCCATCTCCATCCGCCCCATAGCAACCCTTTCCCCGCCAACCCTAACATCCACGACCTGAGTGGGGTTGACATCGTGAGCTTCACATCCACCTTCGCCCGCCCGCCAGACATGAACAACAACAACTATCAATCCTCGATAGTCTAGTGGTGAGGATATCGGCTTGTCATTCACACGATTCGGCGGGGTGCAGGGCGTGACGAGACGGTGGGAATAGCTTCATCACGCGAGAGACTGCACACACTTGGTTGAACGGGGCATGTCATTACAAAGCCCGCTACAGCAGTAATTGGAGCGATAGTGCACAGGCTACCAGGTAACCGTATCTGTCACTCGGCTAGCAGTAGCAGTGTGGTTTGCCTACCTCATACGTCCAAGCTCCACTTAGTGAGCTGCGATTCCTTGAGAATTCAGCCATTAAATCGCATAACACCGTGTTTTGGGGGGGTTGGGTAGGGGGGGTAGGTCCGAGTTGGATTCCGCGTTTGAGGCCAGTCTTTTCGAGATGTTCAATTCCCCTCCGAGGAGTTCTTTTTGCTTCATATCCATCTCGCTTGTCTTGACTCTTGGTCCGAATGTCGATCATTTAACTCTACTGTTGCTAGTAGATTCTTCTGTCTCATTTCGTAGTGTCAAGACCTCGAAAGGTCGGTGATGGCGTTACAAAATATCTTCATCCAGAGACCGCAGATAAAACAGCAAGCGACCCACCGTACGCTGCTACCCTCACGCCACCTCTGTCAACCGCTACCAACGCACTTAGCACTGACAAGCCACAACTAAATCGATCGTCACAGTCTCTCATTCACCCGTAATCCGCGGTCTGGAAATCACGACTACGAAGCGCTGGAAGCGTGGGCGGCCCAAACTAGAACTTGGAATTTCCGGCCGGCGCTCTAGCCGAAAGAAAACCCCGGAGCCGGAGGGCCCACATCACCAAGACCGGATCCGAGAACCGGCGGTCAGCTTCCATGTTACGGTGAACACGCAGGCCCGGAAGCCAACACCTCTTAGGTTAGAAGCCTCTACGCGAGTCAGGCAGTGGCATCGCTCGAACTTGAACCCAGCGAGAAGCCAGACGGAGCTCAGGAGAATCGCGCTAGAAGGTCCAAGTCAGTCAAGACGTCCAAGGGACTCGAGTGCCGGGAACAAAACCTGATGAAAGCGAATTTAGTAACTGGCAGACCTATTCACCAGCATCAGGGTAGCCAAGGCATGACGGAGGGTGGAGGTCTTTCGAAATTCCCCTGCCGTATGCTCTGAGTGGTGGGCAGAATATCTAGTCGACAGAATTTGGCGCGAATAGCGACGCGGAACACGCAAATGCATCACAATACAAATCTCGATCGGGGTCATGTATGAAGTGGAAAGGTGCTGAGCACCTGATTCGGCTTTTAGCTCGTGCTATACACCCTAGGACGATCCAAGTCCTACCATCCATCCATGCAGTTCCGCGTTGGAGCGTCTACCCTACCGCCCACCACCAAGATCCAATGTATATACAGAAGACAACGCCGCAGGGCATCCCAAGCCCTGATCACCAAGATTGGAAAATCACATTTGCCCAGAAATCAAATTCCCCAACACCTTGCAGAAAAAATCACACTCGTAGAAACAGCCTCCTTGCGGAGGTACAACGCCTGTACCGTCTGCAACGGGAGCGACATCCCCGATCAGCCGCCCACGTGCCCTTTTGAATCCGCGGACGCTTGGGTCCGAAAACGTGGCCGTATATATATACAGCAGTTTTGAAGCCCCGGTTGCACCACCGGGAGCGACTGGCTCGTTGGAGGCGTGGAATGCTGTCACCGCATAACACTGAGCCATGTGAAACGTACCCCCACCGACTGTCGAGCGACAAATGATAGATGATGAGATAAGACCGGCGAAAAGAAACGAGATAACCGAGAGACAAGATGTAACAAGTGGGTGGGTTGAGCAATGTTGCCAAGGGTGCTTCCACCCGGCCAACATTCCAGACAGCCGTAATTGATCATGATGTCATTGCGCGATCATCGGTCGTAATAGAAACTGTCTTTTTTTTCGTGTTTTCTTTTTCTTGCTCGACCTAGCAGGCCGCGTGGTGGAGGGCGATGTTGGGCAGGTGCGCGTCATGCAGAATTGGACCCGATCAGCCCAATCACTGCCTGAGGGAAGCCCAACGCCCAGACCAGCCACAATGGGGGAAGAATGTGACACAATCGAAAAAAAAATAATGAAGAGAATCAAATCGGAGCGATTCAAGACTTCTTAGTAGACCGCATAACTGTCGAAGCCCTCGGCAAGCGGGTCTTGGTATGTAGTGGGTGTAACCGTGTTTGAGGACGAGATGGAGAAGGCCGTCTCGTGCGACATGCCGTTCATCGGCGAGTTTGAGGTAAAGGGCGAGAACGCAAATGCTTCAGAGGCAGATGAGAGCGGCATGTTGGAAACGGCCAGAAAAGAGGAGGCTTGGGTGTCAATGGCCAACTCGGGCATCGGGTATGACGCCTGAAAGTTCATGTCGTAGGCCATGTTCTCGCCCATGTGGCCCAGGGAAAAGTCCATCATGGAGGGGTCAAGCTGCACAGCCTCTTCCTCGTCCTCTTCCTGGGCCTCAGCCTCGGCGGCATCGGCATCGTCGGCGGTAACAAAGACTTCCTCCATCCAGAGCTTGAGCTCGTTCATCGGAGGCCAATCACCACCGCCCTTGCCGCCGCGCTTCTCGTCGTCGTCGCCCCGCTTGTTCTTGCCACGGGGGGTCTTGGGCTTGAAGTGGGTGCGACGCAGGTGGGCAGCAGCGTTGTAGTAGGCACCGTAATGCTTTCCAGCGACACACTGCTTGCATTTGGACAGCGGGTTGATTGCCTCCACGTTTGACTTGAGACCGGCTTTGGCCGGGTCGCGGCAGATGAACTTCTTGATGGTGCCCTCGTGCTTGGCGTTAATGTGCCTGCGCAACTCGTGGTCGCCGCGGAAGCCGTCGGGGTGGTCATTGCATTGGTCGCAGTAGACCTTGGGGTGCTTGGGACGGGTGTACGTGCCCTTGGTCACCGCAACCTTGCCCTCCTTCTTGGTAGCGGACTGGGACGGCTTGGTGGCATCGGCAGGCTTGGGCGCCAGCGCGGTGCGGGTGGCATTCTGGATCTGCTGCTGGAACACATCCTTTGCGCGGCGCTCCTGGGTTGACTTTGTAGAAGCGGTGCTGTTGGCGGAGATGGAGCGTTCCATCAGAGACGAGCCCTGAGACAAGAATTGTTCGTCCATGGGCGACTGCTGAGCATACTGCTGCTGAGAGAGGCTAGCGCCGACATAAGCGAGAAAGCTCTCGGACTTGACGTTCGGGGACGTGCCGAGGGGGGCAGAGGTGTAAAGATCCTGCGGCACAAAGTCGAGTTGCGACTGAGTCGAGTTGATACGAGCCATCTCAAATGCACCATTGAGGGACTGGCTCTCGAATTGGTGGTCGAAAGAGCTGTTTTCCCTCGTCAAAGGGGTGGTCTCCGGGGCGGATGTGCCGGAGCTCATCGACGGGCAGACCGAAGCGACCAAGCTGGCCTGAGAGTTGCGGCCATCAGCCGTCAAGAAAGCCTGCGGTTGTGGGGGGATCATGGCCGGCGAGGGGAGGCTCTCGTCTTGTGTTGCGAGGTAGTCGGCAATGTTCATGCCGACGCCGGGATCAGCGTAGGGCATGTTCTCCTCGACCCTCGGGAGATTTGACTGGCGACGATTTGAGGGCGTGCGCTGCAACGAGGGCTGGGTCGCTTGGAACAGGACATGAGGATCGTCTCTGGACTGGGTGAAGCGATCCATCATGGTGTTGGGGGTATTTGATGTCTGCAACGGAGCGATGGAGCCCTTTGCGACGAAGGGAATTGACTTTTCCGAGCGGTTGGATGTGCTTCTCGCCATGCCCGTCATGGGGACAGCGCGAGGGAGCTGCTGCGACATGACCCTCGCACGCTTGACTGGTTGTGGTGAGTCCATGTCACTGCTGCGTTCCTGGAAGCATGTTAGTACGGACGGCATGAAAAGTATAGCATCGAGCGGCGGTGGTGCTTTACCATCATTCTTGTGGCTGCGTGGGAGGAGTAGCCCATGTTGGACTTACTCCTCGGCATTGTTGATCTCCTGACTGCGGGCATGCCATTGTGGAATTGTGGTTGTTGTTGCTGCTGCTGCTGCTGGGCGATGGCGGGTTCTACGTAGTAGTCACCTTGGGGCGGGAGCAGGTTCAGAGGATTTGTCTGAGGTGCTTGCACGGGGCCATTGTGGAGTAGGTTTTGGAGGCTTTCCAGCTCTTGCTGCTTCTGTAGCACCTGACGTTGAAGCTCTTGATAATTGAAATTTTGATTCATGTTGCTGTAGCGTCTATGGGAGGACGTCGGCGAGATGACGGAAGACGGCGGAGGATGACAGAGCTGGGGTGGGTATGCCGGGATTCGGAGTGAAGCGTGTCGGGCCTCACTGGAGCTTGGAGTAAGAAACGGTCCGAGTCAGGACTGTTGCTGGCGGTAGAGTAGTGGTGGAAGTGATGTGTGATACGAGGAGATATTGCTGCAGCCTCGTCCTGTCGATGGCACATCCAAGGGCCCCCGAGTGACGATGGTGGAGGTAAGGCGGGGTGGGATATTGTCTTGGACAACAAACGGAATTGTGTTTGTCGGTTGTGTCGAAGCAATATCGTCGTGACTCTGGTTGGGGTCTCGAGGATTGTACTCTGGTGAGAGGGCGTGCTTGTTGGAGGCGATGGACAAGGGATCTGTGGCTTCGAATGGGAAGACGATCGCAAGAGGTTTGGGGAAGGCGAACTGGCGAGACCAGTGGTTTAAAGAAAAGGACAGGATGAGCCGCGCAAAGAGCGTCCAGTCACAGAAGTGAGGCTTTGGCGTTGTCTCCACCGCAGAGAGCTGGTAATGTCGGTGGAACAGGCAAGACAGTGGTGGACAGGGACACTGAATACGCTAGAGGGGTGCAAGGGTGGGAGGGGTGGGAAGAGGTGGTCGTCGTGATGGTGTGGTGTGTGGGAGGAGGTGTGGTGTGGGAGGGGGATGGGGATGGAGGAGAGGGGAGTGTGTTGCGATGATGATGATGATGTGGTGGTGTGCGGGAAATGGGTGAGAGACAGCGACACGCTGCGAAGGAGGGTGTGATTGAGAGATGGGTGTGTGTGTGTGCGGTGTGCTGCTGTTGGGCAGCTGGCAGATGGCTGATGGCCGGCGGCGAGGGTCAAGAGGGTGGTGGTGGCGATGAGCTGGCGGACGTGGAGCAGGCAGGCAGGCGCTGGTGGTGGTTCTGCTGTTCTTGCTGCTGCTTGTATTAGTGGCAGGTGCTCTTTCCCTGCTGCAACGATGGAAGGTACTCTGTACTGATACTGATATCGCTGGGTGTTCTTGCTCCTGCTGGCTGGGGGAAACAGCGATTGGAGGTGCTCTTTCCTGACCGGCAAAGGTGCGGTGAGAAGAATTTGGGGGGTGTGGGACCAGTGACGGCGCCTGGCAAGGACGAGGGAAGGAACTCTCGAGATGCAGTTGCAGTTGCAGCACAGCAGACAGCAGCTGCCACCGCTGCGATAGAGTACGGCGTACCTACCTTAAGTCTTGGGTGCTTGAGGTGGGAATCCGGCAGTGGCGGGCACTGGACGTAACAGTGGCTGCTGCTGCAATGGAAGGCAGGAGCGACACCGAACCGACTGCTGAATGGGTGGAAAAGAACGAATCGAAGCGAGGAAAGAAGGTTAAAGTGGATGCAGCCCGCCCGATGTGGCCCCGCTGCAGTCGCCGATGCCAATCAAATCACTCAGACAGGCCCATCTCAAGCCAATCAGAAGCGCTTGATCGCTGAGATAAAAACAGAGATTGGGTATCCGTAGGCAAGCAGATACGTACCTTTTCCGACATTGCAAGCACGCCGCACCATGTTCGCTGGACAAGTCCGCCGCTGGGATGGGCCCGCCAGTCTTCAGTCCACGCCAGCGTCACACATACGGCGTTTCTGGTTTCTAGTTGCCGCCCAGGCCAACTCCAGTCCACTCATAGGTAACGCATGGCTTCAGTCTCCTCTCATTCTCTCCCTCTTGCTAGGTATCTCGATTCCGGCTTCGGTGACGGCGACGACTGCGTTGTATTTTTGGGCCACTGCATTGTCTGCTACTGGACGGACGCAATGGTCACTGACCCAATGGCCAAACAGGGGTTGGGTACGTCCTGAAGCTCCAATCACTGCAAAGTTGGAACCTGAAGTGGTGTGTGAGGTGAGGTGGGTGGGCAATGCAGTGGGCACCGAACACGTCGTCTAGCGCGTGCCAGACAAGGGTGGCGGTCTTAACGAGTCCTAGGTTTCTCAAGTTCACTTCCCTACCTACGGATACCATGGACCAACCTCCATTGCCCGGCTGCTGCTGGAGCTTGGTGCTGGTGCTGGCTGGTCATGCTGCCGCCGTTCACCTGTTGGCGTGGTGGTGGTAGTGCTCTGCCGAGAGAGCTGTCTCCCCTCCTCCCATGGCACTCGGACTCTCTTCAACACTCGTCAGATATTGGCATCTCAGGCACCTTGCTCTTAGTCGACATTAGCTGGGCTGTCACTGTCACTCTGCCGGGCTCTAGCCTGGCCTTTCTTGCCCAAGCCATGCCAAACGCAGACAGGTGCTTCCCAAGATGATTTCCCTCTTGGGCGTCTTGGGCTGATCACCTAGCAAAATATCCTGACCTCATCTCAGCTCCCCGCCAAAGACGACAGCAAACACGAACCAGGGCCAAAATGCCTGACAGACGGAACGGACTCCTCGGGAACGCCTGCTGCCCATCATCTCCCAGGGACCCAAGCAGACCCAGCCCAGGCCCAGGCCAATGTCAATCCAACGAACACTCTCTCACTTGTTTCCAAGTCCCCCACATGGGCACCGCAAAAGAAGCCGTCCAAATAATGGGCCGACATCGTGATCGACCCGAACTTTCACACGCGGGCCCACACGCCCAGCGGATCCCCCTGCCGAACAACACTTCCATGGCACTCCTCGCAGCACCTGGCTCTCCGTATGCACAGCGTCAACAAGTCAAGGTCCAGAGGCAGATCGCGATGCGATTGATGAGATGCCCCGTCCGTCCCCTCATCGCCATCCACCACCTTCGTTTTCTTCCCATCTTTGGGGGGGACTCACCGGTGTTTGGACACATCTGAATGACTCTGCCACTCAATGCTGCCTCGCCAAGAGATTGCGCGTGCGTTGCTCGAACTTGTCCCAAGACGGTGTCCATCGCGCAATTGTGCGCAATGCACAATCCAGCATGTCAGTGCTCTCTAGCACATTTCACCGCACGTCTGTGTGTCCTCTTTGACATTTGGGACAGGACGGCGGCATCAACGCATAATACACAGCCCGAACAGCAGCAACAACAACAGACCAGACCACCACGATCAAACCAAACCACACCGGCCAAACCGTCATCGTTATCATCACCAGATGCACTAAAATAAAAGAGGGGTGCGGTAGGGCCGTTGCCCAACATGACTCGTCCTGACACCGTCGACCATTAGGTTTGCGGTTACGCGCTACTGACAGCACCAGCCGAAAGCAAAGAGCGGGAGGGAAAGACACCTTCAACCCAAAAAAAACGTTGTTCCTGGCTGCTCCCGCCCGCTCAGCCGGGCTCACTAACACTCAGCCACCACATGGACGCCGCCGTCGAGATATCGTCAACGACGGCTCCGACTCTTCCAACATGGCAACTCTATTTCGTCCCGACTTCTGTAACCCGGCATCCCCTCTTTCAACCTCACGCCGCGCAACGCTCCTCGTCCTTAATTACTTCTTTTAATGACCGCACACACCACTACAACAAAAACCACTGCAAGAAAAAAAACACCATAGCTTCGAGTTCATGCGGAGCTTCCCTGGCTTCTTCCTAGTAGCCCACGAGCTCTCATCATCAAAAATCAGTCGATAAAAGGAGGTCAAAGAGCCGTTCCAATTGGCTTTTTCGGCAATAGCAAGCTGCACACCCTTCAGACATCTCATCGGGACCATGGATGATGGGTTGAGTTTGTAATTGCTCAGATGAGTGCGACAATTACTCCGTCGTGACGATGTTCTTTCTCTACATTCCCTGCATCGTGTATGATAGCATCGGAAAATCCCCCGAAATGTCGAGAAAACGAAGGGACCGTGCCAGATTGGTTCAAACATTCAAGCAAACGGCGCACACACCACCAGCTGGCGAGCGGCAGAGAAAAACAAAGTCACGCACAAGTCCGACGAGTCACAATAATCCCAAAACAAATTGTTACCATGAATTCCAGAAATAATCCCCGACACGAATTGTGTAAGGGGTCCAAGGGACTGTGTGTGGCCTGCCGTGCCGCTCTCGCGACCTGACCAACATCCGGGATAGCCAATCTGACTGATCTTCAAGTCTGGGCCGGGGACGGGGAAATCGGAAAGCGAGCCCGTCGCACGCAGAACATGCGGGATGCACAGAGACAGCCCAAAACCAAACATTGGCAGCGAGTCGCGGGAGGAACAAAGCAATGTCTCACAGAGATGACGGCAGCGAGTCGCCAGGATGAGATGGGCAGCACCAGACAGGTTGGGTTGGGGGTTTTGCGGCGGTGCTGCGCCCAGGAAATAAGAAACAATAAACCTCACAAGCTCAGAGACCATTCCGTCATAATGGTCGATATCAGGAACATCTGGGCAGCGATCCCCATCCCAAGGCCCAGTTCATTAACTTAATTCTGTCAGCCAAATCACGCAGAAAGACAGGCCGCCTTGGCAGCCCGAAATATGCAGCCTCCCATGCCGTCGGCACGCCTCTTCGTCCTGCAGCACGGACACTTTGGCGATTCTGTCTGCGTCTGTGTCTGTGTCTCTGGGCTGCCATCCCACGCGGCCAGCATCTTGCGACAGCGATACCTCAGATATCCATTTCCATTACATGATGTTCAGGCACGACGGTCTGTTCGCAAACACCCCTCGCCGGGGAGCGCCGTATCTGTGTGTCTCTTGAGACCACCACCAACACCACGCCAACGACCCATCAGGGCGGCACACCAACACCGCGCGTGGCTTCCTGATGCTTTACCAAGACGGACAATGATGGGCTGGCTGACCGCGCATGTGCTCTGTTCTGTATCACCTCAGCGTGGGCATTCGATTCGGCAAAAAAAAAAAAAAGACCTCACTTGTGCAGAGGAATCGCGAGAGAAGGGAAGAGGAAAAACGCCTAACAAGCCATGCGGCGCACCTGGCGTCCGGCGGCCGGCGTCCGGATCTATGATTGACGCGATGTATGCGCCAGGAAACCACACAACACCAAGCCCCCATCACCACTACCGCCATTCGACCCCAGCTAGCAGCATC